TATGGCTTATACTCTTTTAATAGTCTTCTCTATTTCAGTGTGTTTCTCATCTGCCATGAGGCGGGGTTTGCTCTAAAGGCCTCCGCCTCCCCTCAGTCCTCCCGGGGCAAGGGAAAGAATTGTTCTTTATTTGACATCCCTGCTCTATGCACGTGGCCTTCATTCCTATTAGTCTTGGCTCGACTGCAACCTTTACAGGCCTGCTAAGATGACCATTTAAGTAGTGGCTTCAACTAATTATGCCAATTGTCTCTTCGAATATTCCTTCTCAATGGGATGTTGTTTCTCTTTTTCCTTAATGCATATTCCCCCAAACAAATTATCTGTGTTTACCATCTAACAATAAATACAGGGGTGGGCAAGACTAGGTTGACAGTTGTGAGTATGCAAAACACATTAAGCTGTTGTAATGCTCATAACCTGCAGGTCTCTTTCCATACAAACAACTGTAGACCTGCTTTTGCGCACCCTGGTACAATCAACCTTATTACACAATTTCCATAATTTTTCATAACACAGCCTTACATTTTTACAGTGTTTTACTGTTTACACAACACTTGTACTTGATCATCAACCAGCCTCGGAAACAGACAGGATAGTAATTAACTCAATTTTCAGGGAATTAGAATGGCATCCAGGGTGCAGCAGAAGTGAGCTGGACCTGGCTTCTGACCCAGATTCAATAACTACAGACCAGGGGGACTTCCTCGCACTGTCACTCAGAAGGGCCGAAGCCCAGGGACACCCTACCGCAGGAAATTCACACTGCGTATTGTGTTAACAATGGAACGGCATACACACAAGGAGAATAAAATGAGGCAATTATCCAGGTAGTTCAGCTAAATGTTCTCCCCTTAGCACCAAAATCCTTCTCGTTTAAATTAAATTACATTCATAAAGCAAATAAAATATTGCTCCTTTCAGTTACTACCATATTTTCTGTTCTTACTGCCTAACAGGCACTTGCCAAATGACAATAATATTCTGGCATTAACAAGGTAATATTAGACCATTTTTTAAGGTCGCTTCAGACATATTTCCCAATGCTCCACAATCACACACACAAATACACAAATAGGCACATGTCCTTTTCAGTTAAACTCTGAGCCAGTCCAAGTCAGCATAACAGTGAAAAAGTGTCAGAATGTCACACACACGCTGAATGTCTGGTTTTTGCTTGGAAGATTACCCCTGGAATTAAACTTTACAATTGCCTAATCAAATAACTCCCATTATGCTCATGGGCTTACTCCACTACTCTGAAACAATTTCAATTACACTCAAAATGTAAATGCCACTGCTAGTTTCTTGCTCTTTTAATTATGATGATGATTAATCAGCTAACATTGCATTAATTTTTCCTTGCCAAACGTTCATATGCTAACATATATAAACACAATAAACATAATTTTAAAATAACTTACTATATATTTAAAATCAAATAAACAGAATGTTCCTTATCCATTGTCATATATATTTCATATAACTAAAAAGAATTAAAAGTTGAAGCTTCTTTTTATTCAACTTTAATTAGATCAGCTGTAAATAAAGTGATTCAGAAACAATTAGGGTAACAAACTTTGTAGTAGATGTCATAGTAAACTTGAAAATTTGAAGATTATTTACAACTAGTGCTTAAAAACTAAAATATTTAAGCTAGATGGTTTTTTGCTTCTTATATTTACCTTAATTTATTTGGAGTGCCTTTAGATTTTATATTTGAATATAATACTGTGTCTATTTGTGCATAAGTTTCTTGGGGCACGTGGGCCATAACACAGATATCACTCATACCTTCCAGTACTACTCCGCTTACGTCACAATTAACTGTCGAAGCCTCTTCATCACCCAGTGCAGTAAATGTAATTGTTAAGAGTTTAAAACATTCTCAGAGAGCAGGGCAAAAAGGCAGCTGGCATTCCTTAAACGTTTTTCTTGCCCGCCTGCTCTGTACTATCTAACCACAGTCAGACTCAAGCTGAGCTTCCTATCAAAGGAAAGGCTTTCCAGTCCATCAACTCATTGCCTCCATGGAGCTCACTTTTTCTTGTTGTTCTCCCTCCTAATTTTGGTCCACAGATGACCTCGGAGAGTTGCTTTAACATAGAAACTGATTTCTGAATCAAGAATGATAATTTAGGCCTGATCTGTGAAAAGTTAACTTTCTTGGTAAGATTTAGTTTTCATATTTGTTATGCTGGCAGAAAATTATGCAAGGATAACATTTTAGATTAGGGGCCTGGCCATAGTTCCTTGATATGGACAGTAACAAGTGAAAGGGAAAGATTAGTGTAAGAAGGTACATTGTTCAAGATCCGCATTACTTTGTGCAGCCTGAGTTTCTACCGTTGGCACCATATGGACAAATGGGAATATGTAAATTTATTGACTTTCTGAACTATTGTCTGTACTCTAAGTTCGTAAGCTGTCATTTCCCACATTGATATGGATCCTCTTCCTTTCTTCTTGTAGTTTCAAGGACTTGATACCAGGAAGTCGCTACCACTTGTATCTGTATTTAGTAGTAGGATAGAGCAAAAATTCCTTTCATGTCACTATTTGATGGTCTATTCATTAATGCTGTATTTACAATCATGGGTGTTCCCTTATAAAATAATTTAAGCAGTGCACTGTTGGAGAAAATTTAGTAACTTGTGCTCCCCACCAAAAAACAGATGGTGTTTGCTGATTTCCATAGTGGTCTAAATATGACCACAATGTCTGACTTCAACCTACCAATACAATGTCACTAGAAGAGAGATAGCTTCATTGATTCTTGGTAGTTGGTTCTTGTTGCTGCTAGTACACCACTAAATATTATTGACTATACAATAGGTATTTAAATATTTTTGGAAAAGATCCTGACTTGTTTTAAAATTGAATTTTTAATTAGTCACCTGTTCTAGTCTCTAATTTTAAAACATAGCCCATCTCTCAACTATTATACCAGCTAATCATGTATAGTGTCAGATTCCTCTGAAAAAAAAGGACACTAAAATAAATTTATCATTATTACAATTAAGTTTAGCTAGAGTACCTCATATAAATTTCATGTACATTAGGGACATTTTTCCAGTCATCTGAAGCACGTTGAAAAAATAGCACTGAATCAAGTTCAATACTGTAATTGATAAAATCTTCCACACATAAAATGGCCATTAGGCATAGGCAAGAATTTCAAATCTTTATTTAAATTTGAGTCTTTTCCCAATATATTACTGGCAAATATGAAAAAAAATTAAAAACCAAGAAAATATATTCTTTAAAAGGAAAGAAAGCCCGGTGAATAATGAGATATTCCTTTTCTAAAATACATTCAAACCTCCATTAAGTGATATGTGCAACAATCAGCAGTTTTGACATCATAAGTCAACTGTACTAAACTATTTTATCTTCTTGCAGACAACAAGGGGATTATTACAAAACTGTTTTCTCAGCATCTTGCTGACTCAATACCTACATAATTCCTACACCACACTGTGATTTTATTGAAAAGGGTAGAAGTGTACTTGGTTTTATTTTTTGTTTGAAAAACTTACGTACGTGACTAAAAGTAATGAACAGCATCTTTTACTCTGTTATAAAATTGGTTTTTCGTATATATGTATAACAATACAGCAAGAAGCATATCTATCTAGTCATGAAACAATGTCTACAAAACTTTATTCAAATGAAAGGACTGTTTGCGGATAATCCAATTTATTGAATTATTTATTTTGATGAAGCTGAAGGCCACTTTCACATACTTCATTTCTAAGGAGGGGGCTGCAAGTTTACAGAATCCTACATAGTTTCTCCTAATGTCATCAAAATATCCACATTCTAGTCCCAGTGCTTGTCTTTGAGAAAGAAGCACTTTTAGAACGTAATTCCTTATACAGTGTCCACTCCACTACCTAGAGATTTATTAGGAACTCAGCAATAATTCTTTCCAAAAGGAGAAAGAATATCTGTTCTTACTTGAATATACGCACATCAAACTAGTACCACTGTAGAAAAAAAGTGATAGGTAGAAATGGTATATTAGTCATAAAATTCTTCTCTTTTAGGAAGAAGCCCATCACAAACTTAAACACATAACTCCTTGAAGTTGTTCCCCTCACTTTGGCACAACTAAACCAGTACAGAAGTTATACATTGCAAGGCCTATTCTTGAGGAACAGATTTGCATTGGAATTTAAAGATGGGTTTTTGAAATTTAAAACATTACATTGCTTAAGGTATATTAAAAAAAATCAGTCTTTCACTCCATATGTTTACAGCAAAAGAGGCTGGGATAAAACAAATTCTCAGAAGTCTTTGGAGACTATAGAACTTGTGACCTTGAAAAATAAATCTCACATCAAAGGAAATCTCAATTCTCCTGAAATCTTTCTAAAATACAAATATCTCATTTCCAGGTTTTGTACGCCTCAATGGCGCAGACCAACTCCCCGAGCGTGTGTCCAGTTGCTACGCTCCTCTCTGCGATGTCAGCTGCAACAGGGCTCAGCTGCTCTACTGTTCTCCATTCCTATGTTTCATTTCCTTCATGTAGCTCAGACCAGAGAAAAAACAGCATGTTCTGATGAGCTTAATACCATGAAGCAGTAAGATGGACCTGAATTCAGTGGAGATTGGGGCTCCAAAATAAATATAACACCATGTGTCAAGTGAGAAAGAAAAGATATTCTCCTGTACAAATCAGAAGAGATAAAAAAAAAAAAAATCCATGGACAGCAACTTTTTTTAAATCCTACACCAGAATCTCAAAATGATTGCACACTTTAAGCATGATTTACCTTTGTCTTAGTGGGAACACTTCTTGTTTATTTGCTAAACAATGATTTATGTTGTCTTAAACCAAATTTTATTGGCTTGTTATTGGAGGATTAGGGAGGACTTTTCTAAGAATTTATATTTTGCTAAATAAAATATATTTGCTAACCCATAGCAATAAAATTCTGCTGGATTCTCTAATCTAGCAAGCTAAAAGCATCCCTGTAAATGAAATGTGTCCCAAGATTTGACACTTAAGAAGTCGCAGGACTGTGCCAGGGCACGGCATGTCCTCCTCCCTCGCGGTACCAGGAGGGCCTGCGCGGAGGGTCCGGTTCCCGGCCGGCGCAGGCACCCCTCGCTCGCAGAGGCCTGGCCCCTTTGCAGGTAGCTGAGAGTTGCTCTCCGTTCACAGACCACCGAGCATGTCTTTTCGCCAAAACGCCTTCCCAGGCTCAGCGTCTGTGGTCAGCGCAGTCCCTTGGAGCAATCTAATGAACATATACGCTTCACCAAGGCAGAAACCTAAACTGTTAAAAATGGACAGATATGTACAACCTTTTCCTCTAGCCAGTGGAGTTCCTGTTCTCTGTATGCAGTGTTTCTTTATAATACGTCATTTTTTAAGAGTTCTGCTTTCACTTTGTCTGCAGCGCGGGTCCCAGGCGCGCCCCAGGGCTATGAGAGCAGGCCCTCCTGGCCGGTGCCATACATGTCCGCCAGGCGCTTGAAGCGCGGCCCCCAGTCGCTCAGGTAGTCGTAGTTCTGCTCCGAGTTGGAGCTGATGGACTCCAGGGAGCTGAGCGACTCGGCCACCGAGCCGTTGCCTTCGAACGCGTATGTCTGCAAGGAATCGTAGGGGGGCGCGCAGGGGTCCACGTCCGCCTCTTTCAGCCTCTCCCAGATGAACTCCCGGAAGATGACATTGTCCGGGACGCTTTTGAAGGTCGGTCGACTCAAGAACTGAATTTCCGGAGTCACGTCCCTGCGGGTCTTGGTGTCCCTGACCACGTGGAGGTTTCTCAGCGCGGCCATGTCGAAGGCCTCGGTGTCCTCCTCGCCGCCGCCCTCGTCGTCATAGCGGACGATGTTCTCTCTGATGTCGCGCTCTTCATCGAAAATGAGCGGCTCCTTTTTCCGTCGCCTCAGGGTGACGATCAGGAGGATCAGCACTGAAACAACGAGACAGCAAAGGGAGAGTTTCAGTAAATTCAAGCACCGGCATCCCGCAGCCTTGGGCTCTGCTGTCCACTCGGGCCTCCTGCCCTTCAAGGGGAAATCAATTGGCTGCCGGCTGACACGAGAGTTCAGGGCAGTTGAGGTGTTAAAATTGCTAAAATGCCCTTAAAATAGAACACTTCAGGACAGCAAAAGAAATCGCTTTCCACACCTGTTCAGAATCGATGCCTCCCTCTTTCTCGTAACCTCCTCAGAAGCATCTGAAAGAGCCAACCAAGTGACAGGCCAGTTCAGGATAAATACAACCATTTCAAAGCGAAGAAACACAAAAGGGGTTTTTTTTTTGTTTGTTTTTTGTTGTTTTTTTGAACTCCTTAATTACTGGAAAGGCAAAGCGACATTTGCAAATGTTTTGGGTATAATTTAGCAGCTGCAATTTCAGAAGGAAACGGATTACGGCATTCGGTCCGGTTCTTTGAAGAAATGCCTAGGACGTGTCTCTGAAACTCAGCTGTTAAATACAATCCAGCAAGTCAGGCTCTATACAAAGACGAAACGCTTCTCTCTAGGAAACTGAGTCTCACTTGTAGGAAATTTTGAACTTGGCCTGTATGCATTATACCCAGAGCGAATATATAGGTTATGAGATTTTCAGCATTAGCTAAAGGCAGATTTAAGAAATCAGGCACCCCTTGCCATTAGGAATTTGGCTTCCTGTATCAAAGTTAATGATTAGATAATAAAGCACGTGGTAGCACTGGAAAGAACAGCACGTGTCCTCGCCGTGTGAGAATAAGGAGTCTGCTGGGCTCTGGTTGCCAGCTGCCTCCAGAATGAGGACACCGGATTTCACGGTGCCCAGATTAAGCTAACATAAAGGAGGGAAGGCATTGTTAAATTTTGGAATTTAAAAATATGTAAACTAGCGAAGTGTCATTAATCATCTGTCTACAAATCACATACCTTTTTAAACAATTTGTATTGCATCAGCCAAAATTGGGGTGGGGAACATCTAAAAGGCCCGAGTGGTTGTTACTCTCAGCATCTTTTAAAAGAAGTTTCAACTACTTATATTTAAAATATTTTGTAAGGTGTTACTTCGGCAATTAAGAATACATTTGAAAATAAAGATATAAAACCACGAAGGGTATGAATGGAATTTAGAGCAATTAAATACAGTGGTTAGGAGGTAAGGCATGTTCCGTTCGCCACCTTAATCTGCATTAAAACACCAAACCCCTAAGTACTTAGTATTTTTTAAAATGATTTTATCCTCAGAAGTATATGCTTTCTTAAATGTTTGTCTGCTATCTGCTTTTCCAAACAGCAACAGGGATGTGACTGCTGAAGACATTTTTATTGAAGCTCTTTGGAAATAGCTGTGAAACCACTTGTTTATTGTGACACTTTCCTCTTTTTTATTTATTAGTATTTTTTGCTTTCCCCATCTCACCCTGACCTATTGCTCACCCATCAGCTTTACTGACAGCCTACAATTTAGAAACTGAGATACACTTCTGAGTTTTTCTGGCCACCTTCTTGTATTGCCATGGCCCCAATATGCCTATCCTTTTTTCCTACTTACTTCTTTGTTTTTGACCGGCTTCATCAAGATGGCAGAGAGTATAGTTCAAAAGTCTGCATCCAATTCATTTCTCTGATCTCCTAAGCAGTCTGGTACCCACCTTCCATCCCTGCTAAGTGGATTCCCTACATGGTCCCTTCTTGTCTCCCGAGAGCCCTCATTCCTGCCACTCCAAAACCTTGTGGTTTTCAAGGTCCATGATACAGCATGACAGCTCAGTTACAGCTCCATGTTAACATTCTGGCACGGACCTTACACTAATATACAGCTTTGGTGTCAAAAAAGCATTGGGTAAAAGTCCAGTCTGTCCACGTTAGATGTGTGATCTTGGGCAATGAGCCCAGCTATACATGCTAACTACAGACAACTTCCGCATTCTCAGTGGATTACAGAGTTAAGGGGCTGGGGAGTCAATAAGCAGAGCTAGTAGATTGCCAGGCACTTGGTGGGCAACAGAAAATTGTTTTCACTGTTACTGCATTAGTTCAAAATCCCATGAACACAGCAAGTAATGCCATCGCTTTTCTTCTTTGACCAAAGGAAAATGAAGAACAAGGTTAGTTAACAAGCACAGGAGAAAGAGTACCAAATATATGCCAAGGTGTGTGAACTGAAGGTTAAGTGGTAGAGAGAACAAGGCAGTAAGGTGAGAAGTGAAGGTCTATACACAGGGCATGCCATTTGACACTTACAGCAATTCTGTGGAGTATTTTTATATTCAATGGTTGTCTTAGACATTTGAAGCCACCTGTCTCTGGTCCGCAAAATAAAATGCAGTACTCAGAGAGTGAGACACACCCCACCCCAGTGCACTTCTATTAATGCTACGAGTTTAGTGCCACCATACAAGGTGATGGGGTTACAAGCTGCAAGATCAAGTGGCAATTGCTTGTGCAGAGAAAGACATATCAGTACGTTTTAAGACATATAAGTAAAACAATAACTTTAGATTTAGGTATAACTTTAGTGTTTGAGACGTTTTACATAGTTCCCCAAAGATAAAAGTGATTGTAACAGAAAGAAAGTGGGACCAAATAAGAGTTCTTATTGTGAATACAGACAGAAGAGAGGTGAGTATCAGAGAGAACCGTGAGAGTGTACAGGGGGTGGCTGGGGAAATGACAAATCTGCTGCACATATCGGACAGCAAAGCGGAGGGGAGCAAAGGTCCACGGGAGTGCAAAAGGATGCGAGAAATGAGTGGATTAAAAGGAAATGAAAATAAGGAGAGGGTAAGGATTCAGTAATAAGTAGATGCTCTTTGAGTTTAACTCAGTGTCAAAGTAAACATTCAAAATTCTCCATTCCTTTTTCTTCATGTAATTACAATGAATCTTGCGCGCGCACGCGGGCACACACACACACACACACACACACACACACATTTTTGACCCCTGAACAACATAGGTTTGAACTGTACAGGCCCAATTATAAGTAGATTTATAATTTAATTGTCCAACTGCAGGTGACTTTATTATATTAGTTTCAGGTGTACAACACAGTGATTAGACTTTTTTATGACTTTCAAAGTGATCACCCCAGTAAGTCTAATACCCACCTGACACCATACACAGCTATTATGATTATTGACCATATTCCCTGTGCTGTATGTTGCATCCCTAATACTTTTTATAACTGGTGATTTGTGTTTCTAATTCCCTTCATCATTTTTATCCATGTCTCCACCCTTCTCCCATCTGGTGACCATCAATTTGTTTTCTGTATCTATAGTTTGCATCTGTTTAATTTGTTTATTTTGTTTTTTTAGATCCCACATATAAGTGAAATCATATAGTATTTGTCTTTCTCTGTCTTACTTATATCACTTAGCATAACACCCTCTAGGTCTATCCATCTTGTCACAAATGGCAAAATTTCATTCCTTTTTTTTTTTTTTTATGCCTGAGTAATTTTCTTCTTCTTTATCCATTTTTCTATTGACGGGCACTTGGGTTGCTTCCATATCTTGGCTGTTGTAAAAACTGCTGAAATGAACATAGGAGTGCATATATCTTTTTGTATTAGGTTTTGGATTCCTTCAGACAAATACCCAGATAGATGGAATTGCTGGTTTGTAAGGTAGTTTCTACTTTTAATTTTTTGAGGAACCTCCATAGCTTTCCATAGTGGCTGCACTAAATTACAATGCCATCAACAGTGAACAAGGGTTCCCTTTTCTCCACCTCCTCACCAACACTTGTTTGTTGATTTATTTGGTTGATAGCCTTCTGACAGCTGTGAAGTGGTATTTCACTGTGGTTTTAATTTGTATTTCCCTGATTATTAGTGATGTTTAGCATCTTTTCATATGTCTATTGATCGGCTTGTCCTCTTTGGAAAAATTCCATCAGGTCCTCTGCCCATTTTTTTAATCATGTATGTCTTATTTAGTGTTAAGTTGTACGTGTTCCTTATATACTTAGGTCATTAATTCCTTATCAGGTATATCATTGGCAACTATCTGCTCCGATTCAGTAGGTTGTCTTTTCATTTTGCTAATGGTTTCTTTCCCTCACTATGGAAAAAGTTTAGTTTTTCGTTTATTTTTTCTTTTGTTTCCCTTGACCAAAGAGATACAACCAAAAAATATAGCTAAGAGCCATGTCAAATAGGTTACTGCCTATGGTTTCTTCTTGGAGTTTTATGTTTTCAGTTCTTATATTCAGCCTTTAATGCACTTTGTTTTTGTATCTATATATGATGTAAATAAGTAATCCAGTTGTTTTTGCATGTATCAGTCCAGTTATCCCAACACAATTTATTGAAGAGACTGTCTTTACCCCATTATATCTTCTTGCCTCCTTTGTCACAGATTGATCATATATAGGTGTGGGTTTATTTCTGGGCTATTTTTACCATTGATCTATTTGCCTGTTCTTGTGCCAGTCTCATGCTGTTTTGATTAGTATAGCCTTGTAGTATAGTTTGGCATCAGGTAGTGTGATACCTCCAACTTTGTTGTTCTCTCTCAATACTGGTTTGGCTATCTGGGATCTTTTGTGGTTCCATATAAGTTTTAGGGTATTTTTGTTTTAGTTCTGTGAAAAATGCCCTTGGTATTTTGATAGGGATGGCACTGAATCTGTACATCAATTTGGTAGTATGGGCATTTTAACAATGTTAATTCTCTGCATCCACAAGTGCACAGAATAAGCTGAATACAGGTTTTATGCTTCCTTGGTTAAATTTATTCTTAAATATTTTGTTCTTTTTGATGCAATTGTAAATGGGATTACTTTCTTAATTTCTCTGATGGTTTGTTACTAATGTATAAAAATGCAACAGATTTCTGAATACTAATTTTTTATCCTGCTACTTTACCGAATTCCTTTATTATCTTTGATAGTATTTTGGTGGATATCTTAGGATTTTCTATGTACAGTATCATGACATCTGCAAATATTGACA